CGCAAGCCATCACACCACGTCAAGGTGCAGTCTCGTGATGGATGGATAAAAAAGATCTGCCGTACTGCATTTTATTCGCTGTAACCGCTCCTGCTGGAGGTCATTAGATGACGTGTAGATGAGACATGAAGAAATGCACAGAACGAGGTTTAGTAGATGTCTCGTGCCTTCCAGGTTTGGGTCCAAAAGATTCCGCAACTGGTTGTTTGAAGACATTGAAAGATATGACAGCGAATCGACGGATCAGAATGCTTGAAACGGTGTGTATGCATAGTTGTGCATTGTGTGTTGACCATAGGGATTCTCCTTCTTCCCCCCTCTCTCAAAATAGGTTCAATCCCTGTCCACTTTAAATTTCACCACTAACCTTGTATGCATTGCGAGTTTGGCAGCGATCAGTGAAGTCCGCTTCACCGTATTTCGCTGTATGATGATGATGACCACCAGTATGCCGACGTTTTTGATTCTAGTGCCTTCGTTTGCCACCATCAGCCGTTGACCTCAGTGGTCTTATTTTGTCAGAAAATCACAACCAGGTAGATATATCCAATCTGTTTAGTCAAGATGAGATACCCTCAATTGTGCTCAAGGCCTACTCATTCAGGCTGGTCCCAATTTCTCGTGATGTCTGTGTTTCTTTCCTGTAGGCTGTTTGCCAATGTTATGTATATAGCGCTGAGTGATGGCATGTATTCTAACGTTTCGATCCAGACTGAGGCTTACCAAACAGTGCTGCATCAAAAGGTGCGCGGTAAAGCTAACAAAAAAATAATAAATGCTATAGAAATCTTTGCGATGTGCATCGGATCACACTAGACGATTTCCCAAGGAGTGAAATTCACACCCATGATCATCAACAGTGCCTGGTGCCTGAGAAAAGCCGGATGGGCGTCTACGAACATTCACCGTCTAAACAAAACAATTGTCATTCTGGTTCTTTTGATTCTCTGTAATGGTTTCCTTTTCATATTATTCTCTTCGGTATCCAAATCCCACCGTTTCCTGTTATTACTGTTGTTGCGTTGGTACCATGCAATTTGATGATATGCATGGTTTTTTGCATATACCTGCGTGCAAAAATACGTGTTTCTACGTATAGTTTAGACGGATTGTTATTCAAATTCTATAAGAAATGCAGCTAGTTGAGGAAAACATCGATAGACAATCTGTTTAGTCAATCTTTTTATTATCTTGGAAGTTAATTTAGCATTCGTGTTATGCCACACCGAGGTTTTGCAATTTTTCGCATACGTTCCCCATTTGTTCTGTTCTTCTGAATAATCTCATTTTCATTTATTTCTTTTTATTTAATAACTTCAGAAGTCAATCGATCCACCAGTCGGTTGTGACAAAAAACAATTATTCGGTTTCAAGACCCACGATTCGGAATGGTTCTTTTGTGCGGATTCCGCGGATGATGCGGTAACCTGGTGCATAACATTGACAGAAGCCAAGGGTATAGTACCGACATATCGTGTGCACATTCCGCCTGCTGAGGCTCACGGTGGTTACACAGATGGAGTAAATTATTATCGACATGGAGCTTATCCGAATACAACCGTACCACTGTATGATTCAAATCCGTCAAACAACATACCTCCTCTTCCGGTAAGTTCTAAATTAAAATATGAAAACATTTCAATAGTTTTGCTTAAGATCTTCAGAAGGCTTATGCCCACTTTCTCATAGTTGCAGTTTGACTTTTTGACTATTCAACTCCAGTTGTTCAACGACCAGCTATCATTTTGTAGTTATGCACCATTGAAATCACGATGAGACTTCACTTTGACGTGGTGTGATGGTTTGTGCACCTCTTTGACCCAATGAGCTACACGAGAGGGCTTTTATCAAGCCAGGAGATCTTATCATGCCTGGAAGTTCGAAGGGCAGAAGTCGAACGAAGTCCAGTCTCGTGATCCTCCCGGTTGGAGGTTCGACTGTAATTTGCGTTTCAGTCGGTAAATTTGGTGGAGGAATAATTGATTGATTAAATAAGCCTCCACTGCGATTTACCCGCTGCCTTGAGGTTAGGTTCTTGTCAGAACTAAAGGCTTAGTGGCTGGACACCCTAGCGGTACCCGTCCAGCAAACCCCAATGCATACTGCATCGGTCGTCGTACAGGATAATCAGGACCGCGCTGCTAATTGCATCGAGCGGGGTGGCTAGTGATAAGTAGGCTACTGATCAGATATTCCAACCTTTGTTTAATTCTTTGTCTTCCGTACTTAGCCCTCTCCATTTTCCCCTTCTACTGACCTGTAACAGTCCCTCAAGCAACTTGAATGTTGCTCGCCAAAGGTCTTTGCCAAACAGCATTGTAAGTAATTTACTACGAAATGGACTGCAGGTTCTGAAGCGTCATCAATCACTGAATCTGAGGGCCTTCAACATGAGAACTCTGAGGCAGGTAGGTCAACAAGCTTATTTGATGCTTACAGTGGAATCCTTAGGGATCGATATTTGCTGCGTGTTGGAGACTCGAATTCAGGATCCTACTACTATAATCCGCTTGAGCGCGCTAGGTTTATCCTCGAGGTTCGTTCTTCGCGCATTAGGTGACGACGAAGCCCCTTCAGTAGGTCAGCGTGGGGTAGGTATTGTACTCAGTAACAGAGCTGAGTCCTCTCTTATCGATTGGATCCCCGTCAACAGTCGTTTATGTGGAGTGTCTCCAGGGCTCAATCGGCGTCCGGAAGAGAAGCAACACCAAAAGTTGTTTCTTCATCGTATTGGCATATGCACCGACCGATTACAGTTCTGATACACAAAAGGACGCTTTCTATGATAAACTCATCGATCTCATTCGGATGAGTCGAAGCTCGGACATAGTAACAATTTTAGGTGACTGTAACGCGCAGGTTGGCAAACTGGGCGCATCAGTAGGCGGTAGTCATGCTCTGCCCTGCAAACGAACCAATAACGACTTCTTTAGTTCTGCGCAGACCATCATCTGTTCCTACCTAGTGCCAACTTCCGACACAGCTCTCGACGGACGGTAACGTGGCGCTTCAGTTCAACTCGTACGCTAACTCAAACCAACCACGTAGCAGTAAGCTACCGCTGGCGTGGTTCAGTGCAAAATTGCAGGTCCTATTGGACCAACTGCGTTGAGTTTGACCACGCATTATCTTTGATGCATTTCACTCTCCGATTGACTGGCCGGCGGCAAAACAAGCAAACTCGAATAGCTCATCACCTGTCCGTTCCAGCAGTTCATGCACGCTATGAGTGAGAGCTAGTGCGTGAGCTAAGCGGACTTCAACGTGATGATGTAGATGAGCAGTGGGATCAGATTAGGCGAGCAATGCATTGTGCATCGAATGTTGCTTGTAGGTTTGACCCTCAAGCTCGTATGAGAAGTTGGTTATCCCATGAGTCAGTAGCCCTGACAAATAACAAGTGACAAATCCCGACCTGCCAGGATCAAAACAGACTTAGTTGTCATCTACAACGTCAGATCAAGAAGGACCGTGGTGTTGGTGGGCAACAATAGCTAGTGAAATAGAAGAAGCAGCTGCATCAAAGACCGTTTCGACTGATAAGCAGTACGGGAGCTCGGCTAACTCCAGTTAGTGAAACAGTCTGCGATAAGAGGAGCCAAGCTATTCACAATAGGGATGAACGACTTGACCGCTGGGCGGAATACTTCAGTAAACAGTTCAGCTGGCCTGCCGCTAGCCAGGTTACTTCATCTGTAACTGACGCTCCATGGGCAGTGTGTTGCGATTCTCCTTCAGAAGCAGAAGTTTGGTCTTGCACTCAAACTATGAAACGAGAATAGGCAGCAGGACCGGATGAGCTCCCTCCCACTCTTTTCAAGATGAGTGGTGATAACCTCGTAAGCTCTCCTGCTATTTCGCATCCCTCGGGAATTCAAAAAAGTGGGTAAATTTCAGGAACTGCGACACAGCAGGATAAACAGTAGTAGATGTTAATAAGTAGTATGAGAATCGGTTGACAGTTTTGTGACAAAATAAACCGGATCGATGAAAAGTAAGTTAATCCCGTTTGTTGTTCCCTATGTTTATAATTATAAACTGTTTAGTTATAACGGAATTTAAATCTACCGTCCTGCGTATCCTTTATGTATCGGAGAGATTTAAATACTTCAGGACGCCCTCGGCCTAATATCGGTACATTGCATGCGGTATTCAGCTCCTTTTCTGTTATGTGTCTAGTTATTTCGAAACTACCTACCTTTCTTCAAGGGAACTTTTTCTGACCCAACTATCCTATATTCATTCCAGATATTCCTCCATTCCGTTGCAATATTAGGCTAATCACAGAATTGATTATATGACGTCCACCATAATATACAACTGTTTTAGCTACAATAATCACATCCATGTGAACCAATTCGAATACAGTGAGAAGGAAAAACATATAAAATGAGTGAAATATCTGTTATAGGGAACACTCAGAACATTGACTTTCCCATATTCAAACTGGTTGTTCGCTGCGCACTCTATTCATGATTTTCTAGTGAAAAAGGTGTACCATTAGCGTCTGTAGACGTCTATTCGTTCGTTTGCTTTTGTTGTTCCCAGTGTACGTTCAAACCGATTGATGCATTCATCGTAACCGTTGTTGGTCGGATTAAGTTCAACACGCGATGCCATAACGTGATTCATAAACTATACTTTTTTCAATTTAATATGTCCGAGTATCAATTTAAGACGTTATGTTGCTATGTCGATAGTACGATAGTCCGACCACACCATCATTTCACATAGTCTTATGCTTTTTGTGATGGTCTTGTCAGGTGCACACCATCCGTAGGGCGAAGGAACGCCTGCTGTACAGTCGAAGTTCACTGGGTCTGCTAAAGGCTCGCGGTTGTGGTTTCTCGCTCGGGTTAGATGGGCAAGCCCCAATTCTCTTGTTTTGGTTACCTATCCGATCGATCGATCGAGTGATTTTCGGACCGGCATAGGAGGAGGATAAGTTCGGAATCGGATGCTGCTTAAGTGTTGGAGAGTCAGTTGTGGAACGATGCGCCATGTGGGAAATTCGGAATGAAAAAGCTCAAGCGATAAGAACACTGAGTCAACGTTTGACTCGTCTAAGATACGCGCACTATTTTCTAAGTGGGTTCGCGCAAATTTTCTGGCAGGCGTGAGACGGGAGTTTAATTGGAAGAAATTCACTCCTGTTCAGACAACCGAAGGCCATAGACGCCAGCCTACGGGGATTATGGCAACTCTCATGCAATTAACGATTCATAAACTAAAAGTGCATCTCACAAACTATCCCTAGACCCGGGTTACGATGACCTGTGGCAAGTGACCTGTCTAATTTCTTCGGTGCTCTAGGACAAGTGAGAGTATCGTTCATTCATTCGCACAGGCGAGTCCGCGTGATGGTGTTTATCGATCGCTCGGATCTGACATCGCACTCCACTCACCCGCTTACCAATCAATCGTGATTACCGTTCACCCGTTTGCACGTTAGTGCGACAGAGCCCATCGATAGACCGAATGCCCGTGGCTTTGATGATCACTGAAGCAAAAATGACCACATTCGAGTGCCCCACATAATTCCAAAACAACTTCGCAGATTACAAAGATGTACAGGGTGAATGCTTCATCGTAGTGGCGCGTCTCGTCCCTCTCACCCGTGACCTTATGCAAGTAAATTCCCTCTGACCCCTGACGCGATCTGATATCTGATCATATTCCGCGAGCTGCGACGCCTAAAATCTCTCACCCTAAACAAGACTGTCTGATTACCGGCTTGTACTTTTTGTAATGCTCTTGTTGTTAAGTTCAGTCCATCCGAGTGTTGATGACACTCCTGCCACACAGTCGAAGTTCACTGGGCCTGTTTGAGACTCTCGTCTGTAAAAAAGGTGTGGCTTCTCGCTCGGGTTAACTGAGCAAGCACCAGGTCCCTTGTTGTGGCTGAACCATTCGATCGATCGATAAATCAACCCGATCGGTCGTGTGATTTTCGGGTCGGCGCAGGAGGAGGATACGTTCCGAATCCGATGCAG